AAGATGAAGCCTCATGAATGCAAGCCACTATCTTTAATCTTGCTGGTAGTCGGTACATAGCATACACATATGTTAACATCTTATACATATGTAGAAACGTACTATACGATACGTAGAGTACATATGTGCGTTAAGAATAATATGTAAAAGTATAAAACTAGACTTCCATAACGTACGAACTGGTCTTAGTCTTGGTCTTAGTCTTCCTTTAGACTGTAACTTTTCTCGGTGGTCTTTATAAGAAACAAGAAACTGTAAGACAGCCACGCATCTTTATACTGCAGTCACGTACGTCGTGTGACCGCTAAGATGATACTCCAGCGTTATCTTTTTATCCATTTATCCATTTGTATTTGTTCAGATGATAGCTTTTTGTTCCTTGATTCCTTTTTGCGCTACATTTCATAGGATAACATACTACAGCTTGTAGCGCATCAGAATCGATGGAAGAAACGGACCTCCATTATTTTCCACTGGCGCCGCATAACTTTCTCATACTATTTTTCAGCTTTTCCAAGGTAAGGCTTCTTTATTCACTTTATTGTTAATTCTTCTTGCCGCTAAGCTAAAACTCAATACGAAATTGCACGGCATAGTCTTCTTCGACACGCGATCATTACATTCAGATTATCAACTTATGCTTGATAGATGACGTAGGAAAATTCAATTGCACAAGTAGATCTAGACCAAATATTTGCTCGATCATTAAGGCCCAACCTTTCGACTCCAACTCTGGCTTCAAGTACGTACTTTATGCTTTATGCTTCAGAGACTAATGGCTTAATGGCACTTTACGCTATTGTCTTTGCTGTGACGTCTAGTCTCTAGTGGATACTGTCTGGATTATACCTGGGGATTTAAATACCCCAGAAAATCTTTTTATTTTCAGTAGCTTGGTTGTTTATTAAATTTTTAACTTGGCAGTGGATTTAATTGCATTTTTTATAACATTTGTGCTGGATTGGGTGACATAGCACCAGATTTAACAAAATTTAGATTGAAATAAAATTTTAGATTGTGGAAGAGATTTTTTAGATTGTAATCCATAAAAAATGGAAAAATGATTAAATTTTTATGATATCGGCTAATTTAATTTTCAATCATTTTTGTAACAAATAAATTATCGTAAAAAAAATTGATAAGTAGAAATTAAAAATATAATTTTTTAAAAATGATTTTTGGGAAAAAATTTTACTAAATCTAGAATAAAAAATTTTTTGCCTTGATTCAAGATAATTAAACTCTTAAAAATTATTTTTTCAGTGTAAATAACATTGTAAAAAATTCCATCTAAATTTCTAAAGTCCATAACAAAGCAAAATCTAATAAAATAAATTTTGTTTCTTTCATCATAAAGTTCACACTAAAAAATTCAAAGAATACAAATAAAAAGATTTACCCAGAAACGTCCTTAAAGCGTCTAGCCGTTAGTTCTAAGAATTAAAACGCAAAGTTCACATCTAGACTGTTTTTTTAGTACTTGAAATTTTAGTGACCGTATATTTACTCAGAATTTAGCGACATTATATGAACTATATATGTGTACAATTAGTCATACTTGTACGTTAATAATAAAGCATGAAATCCTGTAAAAATACCCGTAAATTTATATAACGTGAATTTCGGTGAAATACTGAAACTTTAATCGTACATAATGGTTATAAATTCACGGGATTTAAACCATTGCTCGACTCAATAGTATTCTCAATAGTAAAGAGAAGAAAAGGTCAGACAAAGCTTCAGGTCGAACAATAGGTCAGGTAAAATATAAAAACACCTGGTAGGTTTTCGGTCTTAAGACTTTTAGATTAAATGTATACATGATTTACTCGGGTCAAAAAAATATCCTGGAGTTCCGAAGGCTGATCCAACATTTTTTTTAGGTATTATTTTTATTCTATTGATGTTTTTTTTTTTTGGCTCTGGAGAGTTTGAGATTTTATAAACTTTTCGGTTCAAGTAAAATTCTTGAGAAGCTTATTTGGTGAAGAAAAGGACATTAGACAAGCAAATCGACAAAAAATTGCAATATAGCTTTTAAAATATCTAAATTTGATACCATTTCATGTGAAAATTCATTTTTCGTATCAACAATACAGCTTTAAAGGATAAAAAATAATTGATAATGTTTTTTTATGAGAAGAAATTTAAAAGTATTGAAAAAATTTTAATTTTGTTATTTCCAATATTTGTTTTAATTAGAATGATGAGAAATATCATTAAATTACAGATTAGAAATTTTAAAAATCAAAGTTTTCAATTTCTTTATTAATTTTGAAGTAAAAGATAAATTATAAGCTTAAAAATCCTGAAAAATTTCTAATAAAGGAATGTTTCAATAGTAAAATTATTGATTGATTTTAATTATTAATCTACTTATATAATATAAATCACGATAATCATACTCTGTTTGTACGTGTACTTATATTTTAAATTTCCGGTATTTTTGCAATCAAAATAAAATAAATAAATAAAAAAAAATTTTTTTGTAAGAGTATGTAAATTTGAATTTTTTTTTTTTTTTTTTTTTTTTTTTTTCATGTCTCACGGTGTCTGGAGAATTTCATCTAATTCAGAGACAAGAGTAGATGGAAGCGAAGATATCGCGGATTTTATTTTTGACGGAATCTTAATGGTGTGATAAGTGCGACACTTTGACAGTTTCATAAACTGTTAACTGTAATTCAATCCTTTTAACATTCTGGTTCGATATGTCGCTGGGTGTTTATTTTAATCTAAATAAATATTTTATTACTTTTAGATTTTTTTATAGATACTGAATCTTGCAGAATTATTTTTATCTTTTAATTATTATTTAAAGATTTTTTTTTGTTTTATTAAAAGTTAATATTAGTAAAATTAAACAAAAAAATTTTTTTAGCAATTTAAAATAATCTGACTAAAACTGACATAGATTTTTTTTTTTTTTTTTTTCAATTAAATTTCTACTTAAACCTTTTTTTTTTATTTTTTTAAATCACTAGCTTGATATTTATAATTAATAAAAAATTCAATTTTTAAAAAATACTCTAAAAAATTCTTTCAACATAATAATTTTTTAAAATTATGATTGTAAATTCTACGAATAATAATTTTTAAATAGAACAATAATTATATCAACAAATTTTAAGAATTCTTCAATTACAAAATTACAATTAAAAGAAAAAAAATGTTTTCTTAAATTAAAGTATCATAAAAATTTTCAATTAAAAAAAATTCTAAAATTTCCTAATAAAACCTTAAACTCTATTTATTTTTCATCAAAAAATAACTTCTCATAAAAAACTTCAAACATCTCCCCAAAAAATTTTTTAAAATTTTCTTCAAAATCAATTCAATATTAAAAAACTCTAAATATCTTATTCAAAATCTATAAATCCACCATTAAAAAACCCTATAAAAAAATTTCCTCCAGAATCCATAAACCCCAAAATCTCACATAGGCCCTAACAAATTAAATCCACTACCTAAAAGATTCTCAAGTGAGTAGTGAGAGAATGAGCGAGAGAGCTTATATTACTCAGATCACGGATTTTTTCCATGCGACAAACTGCGACAGCAAGTGTCTATATTATACTCCTAAGCGAGACAGTGTTACCGAGTTCTCGTCCGCGAGAGAGAGTCCACACATATTTATTAATTAAATATCGGAATTTCTGACGAACACAACCTAACTTCTCTAATTCACAGTTCAAAAATCAAAACACGTTTTTTTTTACAAAGAAGAAATGTAAAATATAAATTCTAACTTAGTTGAAGAATAGATTTCTTCCTAATTAATTATCCCTGATTAATAAATCTAATCTGAAATATTATATATACATAGTAAATACAAAGTATACGTATTTTTACAATAAATTTTTTAAAATATCATTTCTGTAAAACTGTAGCATTAATATTAATTATCTCAAGTCTAAGCATTACAAAATTTCAAAGAACCAAATCTGGATATAGTAGACTAAAAAAATTTGTTTTTCTTTTTATTTATTCCAATTTATATAATTTTAATATGAAATTAAAGATAGCAGTCATTTAACCATTTTTTCTAACAGATAGATTTTATCCAAAATAATTATTTGCATTTTTTATTTTTTTAATTTTGATTTTTTTTTACTCTTTTCTTGCCATAATTTATTTGTAAAAAAAATTCTTAAAAATGTCAAATATCTACTAAATTAATTTATAAAAATTAAGTTAGCTATCAAAAAATTTAAATAATTTTTTTTTTATTAAAAAAAAAAAATTTCACTTGTAAAAAACTTGAAAAACTGTAAGTGCAATTTTTTAAAAATATTTTTTTGTTCTAATTTAATTGTTGAAAAAAAAAAAATTAAAAACGTCGGCTAACTTTAGTATTATAATTAATTTTAATAATTTTTATAATGTTTTAATAAGTTAATAAATAAAAAGAAAAACTATTTAATTAGGTCTACGATATCCAAAAAAAAAAAAAAAAAAAAAACAGTAGCATGGTAAATAAATAATGAAAATTAATTTAATATATATTTAATAATTTAAAAAATTTTGTAACAAATAAATGATGGCAAAAAAAAATTGACATGTTGAAATAAAAAATGCAATTTTTTTTGTTGAATAAAATTAAAAAAATTGTTAAGTGACTGTTAACTTTAATGTCATAAATAAATATTAAAAGTATAAATTTATGGAACGTAATTTTGAGAGGTTAGATTGATTAAAAATTATTTAAAATAATTAAAAAGCAATACAATTAATAAAATTAACATAAAGGTAATAATTTCAAATCATCTTTTTGAATCAGGAATAAATTCTAAAATTTCTAAACCAATAATATTTTATTTTAGTAAATTTATCGTAGCTGAGCACGTAAGACACCCGACATCTGATCCCACATCTGTGTAACTAAACGATACGATTCTCCGAAGCACAATAGTGAGTTAAAAAAACAATTGAAGCCTAAAATTCTTATTATTGAAGAAATAAAAATAGTAAGTGAATTAATAATAATAATTAGTACTCACCTCCAGTATTTTTAGCAATAAACACAGCAATAACGAGCCACAACAGCCCGTATTTACATTCGCGCTTACCCGAGGACACCGAGAGCGCAGCAGCCATTTTCTACACTCGAGAGCACATACTTTACTGTGACGTAGCGAACTAGCTAGAGGATGCGAAGGCGCAGGCCGAGATCTTCGGGAAACTTCGGGTTTAAACGCGCCTGGAGGGGGAAACAAGTGAACGTCGTTAGTGATGGAGGACTAGAGTGGGGGAAACTCGGGTAAGTTCGGTAAAGACATGCTCGGATTTCAGTTCAGTCATTCAGGATTGAAACTCGGGAGTCTAGAGTGAGACGGAAGGAAGAAATGAGACGACGGGCGTCGGGGGCGTCAGCTATGGCGGGAGAACGAGTCGGCGCCCTACGGGCGCCACTATGCCGCGACTGGGATCTGAATCTGAGGAGCTGAGCGAGCAGAGTAACACTGAAAAGAGCTGATCAAGACTAACGACTACCAAGACTGCTCTCAGGGTGTCTTTGTCTTTGTCTTTCTTGGGTAAGTTTCGAATGAGAGGCTGCAAGCTGGAGTCTAAGATTCACCATGGACAAACACTTACACTCGGGCTTGTTTACTTCATTCGGCACTTTTACTCTGTTTAGCATTCGGAATTTTTGGTATACTTACACACGTGCTTTTTTTGAGTCTATTTAATGCGCAGATGCGAATTTGAGCGGGAGATTTTGAGTTTTTGGAAAAAAAATTTATTTTGAGAAGGAAATTTATGACGTTTTTGTTGATAAAAAAATTTTTTAAAATTAAATTTGCATTTTGAATTTTTTTTAATTATAATAAAATTTCATGTTAGAAAATTAAATTTAAATTTAAAGTTGAAAAAAATTTTTTTTTTTGGTATTTAAGAATTTTTTAGTAAAAAATAGAAAAAAAAAATTTTTTTTTGGATTGACAATTAAAATTTTACGAAGAGAATTGTATTTTTTTTTTTTTAATTTTGAAGTATTTTATTTGAAAAATGTAAATTTAAAAAAAAATTAAATTTGATTAAAAATTAAAAAATTCATAACTTTCACGCCAAAAACAATATTATACTGGATATAATCCCAGATTATACAGAGTGAAAAAAAATTTCAGATAGTAGCTAGTATAATCCAGATAACAATGAGCGTAATCCAGATTACAATGAGTATAATCCAGATATTATCCAGTATAATCTGGATTATACTAGCTACCATCTGAATTTTTTTTTTCGCCTCAGATGTCACTGAGTATAATCTGAGATGGTATCCAGTGTCGTCTTGTTTTTTCCGTGTTAATGATAGAAAAATCGAATTTCTTTTTTATCTATATGTATTATTAAGAGAATAAGCAAAATTTTGTAGCTAAGGTATTAATATGATGAAATGGGTTTTAATGGTTAATTTTGCTATCGTTGAAAAAATCTTGACCTTAAGTTAGGCCTTATCAAGGTTTCATATCATTCTCGCCAATAGTTAATTTATGATGATAAGTATTTAAGCTGCATTCGAAAATGCTCTATCTCTAGATCGATAATTAAGAAATGACACTAAGTATATCTTTTGTGAACTATTAACATTTTTAAAGATATAAGCTCATCTTGATGTTACATTCATCGAGACCTTTCATATGAATACCCACATCAATTTTTCATATATTTTATATATTTATATATTTCACAAATACCATATATATAAAATATATCAAAAATGCCTTGTGGGTACTTGAATAAAAGGTCTTGATGAGTTGAACATTGAAATGAGTTTATATCTTAAAAAATGTCAATAATTAAGAAATAAACTTGTATCTTGTAAAATATTGACATTTTTAAAGATATAAGCTCATCCTGATGTTATACTCATTGAGACCCTTCATTTGTGTACCCACATCAATTTTTCATATATTTTATATATTTATATATATATATACATTAGATATATGTATATATGAAAAATATATCAAAAATACATGTGGGTACTCAAATGAAAGCTCTTGATGAGTGTAACATCAGGATGAGCTTATATCTTTAAAAACTTCAATATTTAAGAAAATACAGTGCAATTTAACAAAAATCATCATTTAATAAAGCAAAATTTCATTTATACTCATTGAAAAAAATTCTAAAATTATCAATCCAAAAAAATAGTTAAAATCTTGAATTTAATAAAATTTTGATAATTAAAAAGTAGTTTATTTTTCAGGCAATCGGAGTCTATTTATAGAAATGATCAACGCGCTAATTGATTTAAAACAAAAAAGGTCATTCAGAGTTTATATTAAGTATATAGAGTATAGTATAAGTATAGTATTTAACAGCACTATAATAATAATAACAACAACAACATAAAGTTGGTGGTAAATGAGATAACTGATATGAGTCGGACGGACAAGTTCAATCACCGTGAGAAATCGATTAAGACTCGACTGACACACTTGAGATTTTTTAGCGATTGTTCTAGTATAGTGGTTAGTACTCTTGCAAAGAGCATTACACTTGCTTCTTGCTTCCCATATAATATACATATGTATATAACAAATTTATGTGTCTATTATGTAGGAGGCATCGCCTCGGGTCATTAATCACCCTACGGCGATCGTTTATCGATTCAACTTCTATTAAAATTGCAGCGACGTCCAGGAGTGTCGTTGATCGATTTGAAATTGCCAATACGCGAGAGGAAACTCTAAGGCTTCGGTCTGCTCATAGAATTACTATACTGTCCTATGGCTTTCCTCATATAAAATACTTATTTGTATATGTCGACAATGGAAGTACTTACTAAGGTTTATTGCTCATTATTTTAAATCCTTTTCTGTTCCTTTTGTTATTTTTAATGCCTGGAAAGTTTTCAATTTTAGCAATTTACAGGAAGACTTTTTGAAATTAAAAAATAATTAGTATTTCAAGGCAAGGAAAATATATTTGAGTCCTAATCCGGGTTTGGGTAAACAAATACTTTAATTCCGGTAATGCTTTTAGTTTTTTTTTTGCAAAATATTAATCATTTTTAAAATAACAAAAGGCTGGATGGATTAAATTTAAAATTTATGAGTAATTTAAACTGTAAAATTTTTTTTAGTATTTTTAATTTATGATTTTACAAAAATTTACTAAATTCTTCTTTATCTTGATTTTTAAAATTCATTTTAAGTATAGAAAAATATTTTTTAAGAAAAATATAAAAAATAATTCCTGTAGAAAATTTTTTCAAGTTTTTAATCAATTATATCAATTATAATCAATTTTAAAATCAATTAAAAATTTTTTTTTTTTGCTGAATTATAAGAAAAAAATTTAGAATATTTACGGCAATAAATTTGCAGTATTTTTGTAAAATTATAGTTAATTTTTTATTTAGGCAAGGCCTAATGACTTATAAAAAAATGGCAAACTTATAAAAAATACAAACATAATTAAGGGTACATATAAAAATAATTAAAAGTACACGGAAGGATAATTGATAATAGGTATTGATTAGGATTATCATTAATATTAATAGTTTTTGCTATATAAACTATTTTAGAATTAAATAATGAATAAAACTCTATTATTTATTATTAGTTAATACACAGATTTTTTGCGGTAAAAGTTCTGCACAAAAAAATAAATAAATTGAATAGAGAAAAATTTTTGAATCAAGAAAATAATTTTGGAAAGTTTAATTTTCTTGAATTCAACGAAAAAAAAAAAACTGGCCAATATTACTACAGAAATACTCTATTATTATAGAATTATAATTGTAAATTTATGGTTAGCGCATAATATTATTTATACCCAAAATTTGAAGTTTTTCAAAAACTACGAGGGTATGTAGTCAAAAAAATTTTTTTTCCATTTCAAAATCTCAAGCTTCAAATTTTAAATTTCTTTTTTTTACAATTTCAATATAACTTTTTTTTTAACAAAAATATCAGAATTTAAAAAATTTGGAATTTTTGATCCGTTAATTTTTTCTACTATTAGGTATATATTTATTAATTAAATTGCAAGAAATTGTAATGAAAAAAATTACAATAAATTATTTAATACAAAGTAATATAAAATTATACTTCCATAATATAAGTAGTAATTATTGAAATTAATATAATAGACAACGGACGTATAGTATAAAGTATTTTTATGAAATTTGTAGCTAACGAGCCGAATCATTATACTTTGTACACTGATTACTTGTTACATACAACATACAACTTAATTATTGATAAGAAACTTTATAGGCCAATTAGTTTATTGATAATTACAATTAAATGACTGTTATTACCTTTTTATCAATTGTAAAATTTATCTTTCTAGTATTTAGATAATTATTTCTTTTTTATTAGCAAAATAGTTTTTTTTTTTTTTAATGACGGGTAATTATTAGTATGTATTAATTATATTTAAATTACTTTTGCAGACGTCAGTTTATAAAATTATCTTCTGAGAAAGTGATGACTTGGTAATATTTCTAATGATTGGCGGTAATTAATTATTCTTTAAACAGCAAAAAAAAAAAAATGGAAAATTTTGAAACTTTTGCATTTGACCTTGGAATTTCTTTTTGTTAGCTGATTAATTATTGGTAATTAAAATTTTAATTTTTTTCAGTATAAAATATAAATTTAATATAAAATTTTTCTTTATTAAATAATAAATTTTGTTAAATTGCATTGTAATTTTTTAACTATTGACGTTTTTAAAGATACAAGCTCATCCTGAGGTTATACTCATCAAGAGCTTTCATTTGAGTACCCACATGGATTTTCATATATTTTTCATATATACATATATATAATATATATAAATATATGAAAAATTGATGTGGGTACTCAAATGAAAGGTTTTGATGAGTGTAACATCAGGATGAGCTTATATCTTGAAAAATGTCAATATTTTACAAGATATTTATTAAAATGCCCTGTACATTTTTAAATATTGGCATTTTTAAAGATATGAGCTCATTTCGATGTTATATTCATCAAGAGTTTTCATTTGAATACCCACATGCATTTTTGATATATATTTCATATATACATATATATAATATATATAAATATATAAAATATATGAAAAATTGATGTAGGTACTCAAATGAAAGGTCTTGA